TTTGATTTTTTTTCCTAAATGAAGTGGTTTGCATTTTTCTTTATTAAATGCCATTGTGTTGATTTCAGACCAATTCTTCTATCTGTCAAGATCATTTTGAATTTGAATCTTGTCCTCCAAAGTACTAGCAACCCTTCCCAGTTTGGTAACAGCTGCAGATTTTATACACGAAGGCTATGTCTACACTGGCAGCTTCTTGCGCAAGAACATCTTGTGAAAGGGTTCTTGTGCAAGAATTCTTGCCCAAGAAAACGTCCACACTGCCATGTGCGAGCTGTGCTTTTGCGCAAGAGTGCCCATGGCAGTGTGGACGTTCTCTTGTGGAAGAAAGCTCTGATTTCTATTTTAGCTATAGGGCTTTCTTGCGCAAGAAATGCCTGCTGAGCGTCCTCACAGCTCTCTTGCACAAGAGCTCTTGTGCAAGAGAGCTTACACCTGTTAGAAAAGAGCTTAGCTCTTGTGCAAGAAGCCTTCTCTTACCACGCCGTACTGTAAATCTTCTTGCGCAAGAGCGGGCGGGCAGTGTGGACGCTCTGGGGATTCTTGCTCAAGAACAGCCATACTTGCGCAGGAAACCGCGAGTGTAGACATTGCGGGGAGTGTAGGGTACGTCTACACTTGCACCCTAGTTCGAACTAGGGATGCAAATGTAGACGACTGAAATTGCTAATGAAGAGAGGATTTAAATATCCCACGCTTCATTAGCATGGTCTCGCCAGCGCATTACTCCGCTCAACAACTGTTCCAAAAGTGAAAGTGTGTGCCGGAATGCATTAGTTCGAACCAAACCCATTGATTTGAACTAACATTACTCCTCATTTTTTGAGGAGTAATGTTAGTTCGAACCAAACCCCTTGGTTCAAACTAACGTGTCCCGGTGCGCACTTTCACTTTCACTTTCAGAACAGCTGTTGAGTGGAGTAACGCGCCGGCGAGATCATGCTAATGAAGCGCAGGATATTAAAATCTCCGCTTCATTAGCAATTTAGGTCATCTACATTTGCATCCCTAGTTCGAACTAGGGTGCAAGTGTAGACGTACCCTACACTCCCCACTCCATTATCCAAGTCATTAATGAAAACACTGATTAGTGTTGGACCCAGAACAGACCACTGTGGGACACAACTAGATATGTCTCCTCAGTTTAATGGTGAGCCATGAGTATTATCTTCCAACCAGTTTTGCCCTCACTTATGTTAATGTAATCTAAACCATATTTCTATAGCTTGTTTAAGAGGATAGCATATGAAACTGTGTCAAAAAGTTTTACTAAAATCAAGATATATGACATTTGTAAGTTTCCACCAACCAATAGGCTGGTAACGCTATCAAAGAAGGAGATTAAATTAGTTTGGTATGACTTATTCTTGGCAAATCCATGCTGGCTATTCTTTATACACCTATTATCCTATGGGTACATGCAGTTTGTTCAAGCATCTTTCCAGGTATTGAAGTCTGTCTGATTCAGGCTCTCATCACTTTTAGTAGTTACCTCATTTGTCTCCTATTCAGAGGCACTGGAGGAGAGGGTATTTAGGTCCTTTACTTTTCCTAATGTTCTCAGCAAATGATGTACTAGAACTGGAAACATCTGCAGACTGCCTGTCCAGCTTGAGAACAGGCTCACAGGAAGTCAGTCAGAGCAAGAGAGCATAGGCAAGCAATACATGCAACACAGTAAACCAGCCAGCAGAAGGGCATGTCAGCCTATTCAAATCCTGCCACAGCTTGTGTAATAATACAGTGCTACTAAGGAGCAACTATACATTTTCATGCCTAGAAATGTGCCCCTTATATTTACTTAGGGCAGGTCTGCATTACAAATGTATAGCTCTCCTGTTAGCATAACTCACCTTACATTGAGAGGCAGTAGCTATGTCAGAGGGAAAACTCTCTTGCTAACGTAGTGCAGCTGACATGGGGGATTAATGTTGGTGTAACTTGAACTGAATCACTCAGGAACGTGGATTTTTCACACCCTAAGCAATGTCCTCCTGATTTGTATATCTCTAACTTATCTAAATATTCTTTAATCTGTTCTCTCCCTTCTTTGACTTGCATTCCTCCTGCCCTCTTTTTGTTAATAATAATAGTATTAGATTTCTAGTCTGAATTAACTTTCTTAGTGAAAGTAAGCAAAATAGGCTTTAAACACCTCAACCTTCTTGCTGTCATCTATTTTTAGCTCCCTTCTAGCCCGCCATTAAAAGTACATCTAGATTACATACCTCTTTCAACAGAGGGATGTAAATTAGGCATTTTGAAATTGCAAATGAAGCCGGGATTTGACTTTCCTGTGCTTCATTTGCATAATCACGTAATGGTGCTTTTGAAAATGTGCTATTTAGAAAGTAAAAGTCTAGACGCGGTTCTTTCAAAAAAGGAACACTTTTTCATAAGATCCTATAAACCTCATTTTGCTTATTGGAGGCTTTAGCAGCCAGTATACATTCATGTTTTATTGTGAACTGGGGTGGCTGACATTGAGGAGGTAATGCCTTTTAGCACAATTTTAAAAATCTATGCGGGATTTACCTACATGCTGAGACAAAGTCTCCTTTCAGTTGTGCATGCCAGGCTGCCATTGATGTCAATAGGAACTGTGCTCATCCAAGGTCACTATTTGGACACAGCCCACAATCTTTCTTTGCAGAATATGGACATTAGGCCATTGTGTTTCATTGTAAATTACAATACAACACTTGGAATCAATTTTCCTTCAAACCTTTTATTGCTTCTAAGATACCTGTATTTGAGGCCCCCTGAGTGGCTTCACCCAAGCCCACATAGAGAGAGGTCATATGGGCCATCCAGCTGAAAGTTCTTCCAAACAAGCCCACATTTCTCCTACAAAGCCCTCTGTCCTTGTTAAAGAGGCTGGCTGTGCTCAGATCCCCATTCTAGGCATTGCTACCTGCTGTCTCTAGCCTTTCTTATCCCCCACAGTCCCTCCCTCCCTACTCTTCTCTCAGGGGGTATGTCTGCATAGCAAAAAGAACCCTCATCAGCTCCCAGAGCCAATGACTCAGGTTTGTCTTAAGGGACTAAAAATAGCAGTGAAGTTGTAACTTCTTGGTCTTAGAGCCTGGACTAGAAAATCTGGTGGAGGGGGTGCAGAACATCTACTCTGCTATTTAGGCCCAACTAAGTCAGTTGGGCTGGTCTCTGAGACTCAGTGCCGCTGTAAAGAAAGAAATGAGAGAATTTTCTGAAGCTGCTGTCTTACCCACTTGGATGGCTTGATTAACCATTGAGTCTGATGAATGTCTATTGCAAGCCACCCTTGCCCTGTAGCGCTTCCTCTTGATTTAATGTGGTGATGCAGGAACTCGTGGCCTCAGTTTCTCTTTTGTCAGCTCCTTCTAAACAATCCAGTTGGGTAAAAGACACATTTCTCATGCTAGGAGTTCTCCTTTATTAAAGCCAAATAAACTTTAAATAAAGTCTCTCTCCCTAGTTTCAGGGCTTGCATAGACCTTCTCTTTGGGCCTCTGGTTTTCTGGGAGCACCTCTCCCTTAGGAGTACTTCCCCTTCTAATAAACTTTAAATAAAGTCTCTCTCCCCAGTTTCAGGGCTTGCATAGACCTCCACTTTGGGCCTCTGCTTTTCTGGGAGCACCTCTCCCTTAGGAATACTTCTCCTTCCGTGAACAGCTCTCTGGCTATGACTACACTATAGTGATCTATCAGAAAAAGGTACGCAAATTTTTCGGAAGAGGTTTTTCCTAAATTTGGCTGTCTACTATTGGTCCAAATTTCGGGGAAAAATACCCTCTTTCAAAAGAGCCCTTCTTTCTCGTGGTAGGAGAAAGAGGGCGTCTACTCTTCCGCAAAAAAAAAAAAAAAAAAAAAAAAAAAAGCAGAAGAGCAGACGCGTTCCCTGGATGTGGCAGAGTTTTTCCAGTATCCCAGAAAAACCCCATAATGTAGACATAGGCTCTGCAACCACGCCCTGATGGCCTTTAATCATGTTGCCTAGATAGGCTTATTTCCCTTATATCAGCTCATCGTGAGTAACCTGGACTCAGACATTCCTTAAATTTTATCAGTGACCCCAGTAATAGTGCCCACGTTTCTTTCTGTTTTAGATATATTTGCTGATATAGTAACATACATAACATAACTCTTGTTGCATGTTGTTTTGGAGACTCAGAAAATTAGTATTCAGTTTCAGAATGTTGTGTAATGGTAGATTTTATTAATTACATTTTTATAATAGACTACTCAGACAAAGCTTAAAACTCGGTATGGATTTGTTATATAAAATACAGTTGTTAACTTATTTAATGAGAACACAGATACACAGAGATGCTGATGTACAGAGCCCTCACTTCCAGTCACTGGTCAGTGCAATTTTAGTTTCTCAGCAACTGTCTAGTCTAACTAAACTCAGAACTCAGGGTTGGGTTTTTTTTTTTAGTTGTATATGTTGCACTGTATTTGTATGGAACAGTGAATATGGAAAGACAGATAGACAGGTAGTGTTAATAAGAACACACAAGAGTATCACATCAGTGATGAGAAAGGTAGAGGTATATGGGCAGTTGGTAGAGCTGAAAGGGGATATACAATAAAAAAGCCTGGGAACCTACTGACTAAAGAATGACCAAATAATTAATTCAATACAGGCAGTCCCCGGGTTACGTACAAGATAGGGACTGTAGGTTTGTACTTAAGTTGAATTTGTACTTAAGTCAGAACTGGCGTCCAGATTCAGCTGTTGCTGAAATTGATCAGCGGCTGATTCCAGGAAGCCCAGGGCAGAGCAACTCTGCCTCGGGCTTCCTGTAGTCAGCCGCTGGTCAGTTTCAGCAG